GCACAAGGCTGAGCTCTCGTACAAAATTGAAGGGAGCTCAGTGCTCTGAAATTGTGAAATCAAGGGTGCCCAGCATATGCTTTTTATGAAAAAAACAAAACAAAAATGTAAAAAAAGTAAGGTGTCAGGGGTCACCAGGTGCTAGGAGAGCACAGCCCTGCAACTCCAGTTGTGTTTGACTCAACCAAGAGGATTGCAAAAGACTGGTTGGAATGGAGACAAACATTCTCTCTCTTCACCTGGGACTTAAAATGGGAACTATCAATTTGGTAGGGAAAACTGAAGAAATGCTATGACGTTACCCATGATAGAATAGCATCCCATCCAGGAGAAGGAACTGAATTGTTGGTGAGTTTTTGGGGGGGCAGCTAAGCAGGTAACTCCCTAAAATAATAATAGTTTAAACTATTTACATTTTACACATTATACTGCAACATATTGAGAGAGGATTCTCACTTGGTAAGTTCATCTTTAGCTCCAGGAGGTGAGTCCTTTAACTTTTCCAACTCCCCCATTGTTGCCATAACAACTTCCTCTCGGGTGGCATAATAGGGTGTGGCTGGTTCTTTGAGAACAGATTTCTTAGGAGAGTCTTCTGATGTGTGGTGTTCTTGAACTTGATGGTCAAGAATGTTCTTGACTTGGTCCTAAATGTGGTGCAAAGATTTGGATACTTGATTGAGGCAGAAAGTAGGACATTCAATCCATGAATTCCCACTGGATGTGTTTACACATCTTTATCACCTACATATCAATACATATTTGCAATAGGCACATACCAATAAGTTGTCATAGAACTGGCGTTCATTTATTTGTAACAGGCCATCATGATTGGATTCACCATTTCCCCCAACTAGTTCCTGATCTTTTGATCGTGATATATATTCTTTCTGTCTCTGTTCTATTAGAATACTTGCACTTTCACCTACAGTAGTGGTGGAAAAAAAAAAGCAGATCACTCTGATAATATTCAATTTATTTAAAATTAATGAATTATTTTATTCGTATTTATTGACTTTTTTGGGTGGGGGTGGGGTGGGGTTGTCATTGAAACAGTTATAAGTTGAAAAAGTTGTGATTTAGCATGGAAGGACAAGCACCATCTCATGAACCAAGTAGTTTTACATATTTTTCAATTAGGTGTCCATCTCACAAGTCTCCTCTCTAACCTGATCAAGAGTACAACCTGATCAAGAGTACAACTTGATCAAGAGTACAGTGCATTGACAAGGCAACTACCTCTCACACTGCAAAGTGTAGCATGCACAGAACAGTGACAGTGCATCTACCTGAGAATCATGGTATCAGTTCAAACAGGCTTTTTGCTTCAAGCAGATTTTAAACAGAGAAGCTGATAATTTCTTCCCTCTGAAGCTTATACTTACCCAATACAGGGCTAGTGAAATTTGTTTCCATGCCTCCTCCTTCAGCCCTATCATTAGAACTGGGGCTAGTCACACCTGAGGGACTATCAACAAAGCTTGGGATATCCACAGCTTGAAGAGAAGAGGCTAATGTTTGACTAGGGTCATCAATCTCTATCACCTGATTGGCTAATTCATCAGGATTGGCAGGTAAGTTAGACTGGTGTGACTGCTTAGAGTTAATCTGATCTGTCTGTGAGCTCATTTCACTTGCAATTTGACTTGATGAAGACATAGTTCTGGAATTGAAATGTAAACAAGTAAACATAGTATAATGTACTGTACAGAATTTAAACTTTGTCCAAAGCATTTCTTAAAAAATGCCATAGCAAGGTCCACTTGTGTAAAGGTGTTAATTGTGGTGTTAGACAAAGGAGGGATGTAAAGGAATCTTGTAATTCTCAGAAAACCTGTTCATGTCTTGGTACAGATTATGTCCACAGACAAATATCTGTGCATATTGAAGATGGATTATAGACAGAGAAAAGAAAATAATTTGAATGAGCTCAACTTTCTGAACAGACCTTCTACTCAGATTCAAGTCCTTTTCCTTAATTGGTGATGTAGCAGCTGATCTTTTGCCAATAAACTTTAAAGGTGTTCCAAATAGCAGACTAGCTCCTGTGTTGGTACATGCTGTAACCATAGAGATGGGGGAGGAATTAGGTGACCTGTCATTGCCATGGCAACTTTCTAGGTGAGGAGATCTGGGAGGAGTTAAGAGTGGGTTGGGAGTGGGAAGAAGCTGAGCATTTTGCTGCTGTAGAAGTAGTTTGATCTGAGGAACATAAAAAAAATTGATGTTAACCCTCTACACCCTAATATAAGTTTGCAAATTCTCCCAATTTTTTTCCACACATTTCCTATGATTCTAACAAGGAGAATTTGTCCAACAATCAAGAGTTAAAATACAGAGCTTCTTAAATTTGCAATCATTTCTTTGATTTGAATGACCTCAATGCTTGATTCAAGAGGTTATACTTCTGCAGAGAAATTAGATCCCTATCACAGTTAGGGTGTGTAGGGTTTCAATCTAGCAGGTTTTCAAGGTGATTTACACTAGACAATGTAAAAATGATTTGGCTTCCATAAATTATAACTTATTTAATCGTTTCACTCCTAGGATCCCATCACTGATTCTCCTTGCTGTCTGCCATACTATTTGTATGATGTTATTGCAAAGAATTTGGTATTGGATCAACAAATTATCACCCTGTTGATATTTTTCTTTATTCTCATCACTTGTGTCCTTGATATTGTATTGACAGTGTAACAAGAAATTCTGTCTTGGTCACACACAGCAATATCAGTTATGTACCTGTTCTTGAAGTTCTCTTAGCTGAGCTTCTTGTCTCATAAGAAGCTGGTAAGGATCAGGAAGGGTTGACCCTTCCGCTGATGTGACACTCTCCTTTCTTGTCATTGCAGTAACATTTTGTGCAACCTGTGCATCGTCCTGAAATAATTGTTGATGCTTTTGGATGTCATTATCCTCTTCATTAGCTTTTGGTGTCAGCCTTTCTTTCTCCTGAGATTGCAGTGGCACATTCTCACTCACCACAGAACCTGAAGTAAACTCTTCAAAAATGTGTTCTCTGCTGTCTGGAGAATGAACATAAAATCCTTTTTCTTGACTACTTCTTAGTTCTTGAACATTTCCTTGCACTGTTTCTTCATCTTGATCCAAGATGACACCAGCATTTTCTTCCTTACACAATTCATTATTTGTGGGGAAGTTTTCCTCAATAATTTGAAGTTCTTGTTGTGTTTCATCTTTGCTTTGATTTAAAGTCCCATCTGGCGTTTCTCCTTCAAAAACTGTCTCCAAACAAGACTTTAGAATTAGGTTTACTAATTTTGGATTGTTACTGTTATCTGCTGATCTAATAGACTGTCTCTGATCAAACAGTTTCCCTTTGTTTCCATCAACTTTGTGCTTTGAGGAAACCTCACCCTGTCCTGTAAAACTGTGCAATTTTTCATGGTCTGCAATTTTTGAGCCTTGAGGTTTGGCTACCATGACTGGATTTGTGTTCTGTCGATGATTATCTTTCCCCACTTCAGTTCCATGAACAACATTCACTTGCTCTAAGAATACCTGTTTTCCATCTCTTTTAGACTTAGCAGAGGTGACTTCTGCAAGAGCATGCTGAGGTCTCTGATTTTTATGATGTAATGCACTAGTTACTCCCTGTGTGGAAACTGATTGAACCAAGCCTTTTGATAAATGTCTTTTCTGAGGTAATGATGGATGAGTTTGTTTTGTCATCATAACCCTTGAGTGAGTATGATTTTGAGCTAAGATTGGCCTCAATGGTTCTCTTGATGGCGAATTAACTTCTCTGCTGTTCTTGGCCGCCAATTTTTTCCCTTTTACTAAACCTACAGAACTGATACTTCTTGTATGATCATTTTCTTGGTCTTGTGGGCTCTGCAATTTTGAACCCTGCACACGTTGTTTTGGATTGGGTAGGATTTTCTGATTAGCAAAGCCCTGTTCTGAGGTGTCAGCTGTTGCTTCCTCATCAAAGCTGAGAGATAGAGATGTCTTGGCTACACGCTGTGATGAAAGATTAAAAAGACATGAGCTTCAAAGCTGTTTCTGTTAAGTTACTATAACACTGCTACAATCAATGCTAGTGTTTAAACATTATAGGTTCTACACTTGCAATTAAAACTCATGATGACTCTTTTTGTCCCTGAATGACTGTTTGTAGTTTGTATCAAATGTCTCACCTGTAAGTTTTGAGGATGAGGAGAAGGAGAGGGCCTGGGAACTGGAGTGAATTCCTCTTCCTCAGGTTCTTCTCTCATTAGAGGGAGTGGTTGGTTCCTGGGAGAAAGATCTTCATCTTCACCTAACCTGGTAAATCACATGATCAAATAATAATAAAAAAGACATTGATTAGTGTCATCTATTACTAGTCAAGAGTTAGCCATATTTAATTAGTCTTTGCAGTGCTAAACCACTGCTGAAGAATGCATCTTACCTGATGGAGCAAATTTAAATTAAACTCCAACAGTATGCTGTGATTACATCGTTTCAACCATCTCAAGGTACCTTGTTGTTCTTTGTTCTTTCTCCCAGTTCTGCATGGCTTGCTCAAAATGACTTCTTCCCATTCCCTCAGGAGCTGGAAACAGCTCAAAGCACAATGGCTCAGTAGAACTGGAACCAAGTGGCTGAAAGAAGTTACAAGGTGTTTGTTTTACTTTCCTCTTAAATTCAAAGTATACTACTAGAAAATACTTTAAAAGTCTCCTATCACTCCATAACTTTTCTTTTATGTATGCTAAAGGTTACGAAAATCTGTAACAATCCTCTATATTTGTACTCACTGTTTCCAAGTGCAAGTTTTCGTAACAACTATGGTACTCAAACATTTTCACTTCAGGTCTTCCCTGTACATCAGAAGCAGAAATACAAAGAAAATAAGTTATCATTTCTCTCTGTCTAAAGCAATAAAATTTAATTTTGTGTACAAAATTAACTGACAGATTTATTCTGTATACCCCATCAGCTGTTGTCTTTTATGAGCATTGGAAGAATTTGTGTGTTTACAGACTTCTCGAGGAATGGAAAAGGTGTTGAGACACAAAGGAGGTTTAAAAGATATTCAGGAAAACAGAGCAGTGGATGTGCTGCCAAGTACAAAGCCAGAAATACAGACTGAAGTTTAACACAATAGGTAGCTCTAAATTTCAGGAAGTTGATGACTCAAGGATACTCTGTTACTAGTATTAAGCCTATTTTTACCTGATCTTGTCGGCATTCCCAGAATTCTGGTGTACTCTTCACAGGGGAATATAACAGAAGTAGAAAGGAGTTTGGAGGAGCAAACACCCTAAAGAAGAAGAAACCAAGTGACTTATTACCTTGAAGGTAAGGGCTTGCAGATTCTCTTTCTTATAACATCAACTGTTAACCCTTAAACTCCCATGAGTGACCAAGACAGAATTTCTCCTTACAATATCAATACAAAATCAATCAGATAAGTGATGAGAATAACGAAAAATATAAATTTGAGGACAATTGGTTGATATTCCAACACTAAATTCTCTGAACTGACATTATAAGAACTGTATGGTTGACAGTAAGGAGAATTACAAATTTTATCAGGGAGTTAAAGGGCTGAGGTGTTTGCTTACTCATTAGAGGCTGGTTAATTCTGCAGCAATTTAACATCATTCATATTGGTGATCTTGGAAGGAGAAATTGGATGATATTCACTTAATGGGGCCAAATGGTTTCTGAAATTTCTTGTTACTTTAGACCTACCTTTGCTGAAGAGCTGCTGAGTGGAGAAACCGCAGACAGCAGGCCCATATAAAAGGATGATGAATGTTGTAAATTCCACTGACCCAACTAAAACAAATTATTCAACAGAACTAGTCAACTTATCAAGTAGAAAAAGAGTAAAATTTTTAAAAAATTTGTAGCTCTAACTACACTTATGTATGCGTTGAACTGACAGTGACTAGATGTGGAGCACGAAATGGTATTTTATTGAAAAGTATACACATCTTGTTTTTAAAAGATGAGAATATTTATTATCAAATAATCAACATACATTCCAAGAAGTGGTAAAGAAACTGCCTTTGGATCTGATTCGAGCAGCAATAGTAATTTCCTTGTGTGATCCATAGTCAAATATCTGAAGTAACAAGAAATGTATTGCATAAATAAGAAGGCATTTCAATTAAGACACACAAATTACAAAGAGTAAATAAAGAGCCACCAATAATAATATTCTGTAACTGAAAAAGGATTAAATTTTAAAATAAATGTCATGAATGTCCTTCACTTACCCACATAGTTTACTCACCCATATTTTGGTATACCTTGAACCTCACTAAGTCTTAGTGGACCTGACAAATTTCTGGCCAGTGCTGTTGGAATGATGGGTACAGCTGCTACAGGTGTGGCACACAGTCTTGTTCCCATGGTAATAACACCACCTTAAGTTGAAGAGTAAATTCTAGAAGTTAATTTACTGTGAGGTGAAAGCAGCACCGGGCACATACACAGCTATCTTATTTTAGCACAGAAATTTAACAAATGCTGGAAACTGTTTTTTTGACAGCAAATGTGCTCACATGACAACAATCCATGATGAAAAATCTTAAAAGGATCAGTAGGATTCTCAAAACCTGTGTGAAGTCTCTGCCATTATCTTTACAAAATTTGATCAAGAAAATGAATTTTTGTGGTTTGTATTGGACACCCTGAGATATCAAATAGAGAATTCCTGAGGAAAAAATTCAGAAGAGCACTAAAGGTCTGTGTACATGCTTTCAAATGCATGACCATTTCTATTTTTTTCTCTGATCTCTGAAGGACCTTGAACCACTCAACTCCTAAAAGTGACTGGCCTGTACCCTCTCCTCACTATGTCACTAGCTTGATCAGTGAAAATATAACTGGAATAAAAATTCAATTTGCAGCCAAAGAGTGATATCTTAATAGAACACCATAATTTTATAACTGATTAACCCTTCAACTCCCAAGATCTGATTGTTAATTCTCCCCTGTAGCTGCTACACATTCCTTGTAAATTAGTTATGAGAACTTGGTGCTAGATCAAGATAGCAGCTTCTACCTGATAAGTTTGAATATTCTCATCACCTGTTTGCTGAATAATTTATGGATATTATAGGGAGACATTTCAAGTTAATCATGGGGTTAACGAGGAAATTTCAAGCTGTTAGAGAGGATAAATATAATATCTCTAGAAAATCAGAACAAAAATTATACAGTCACAGCTTAACTTTTAAAAAAATTACTAGAAATGATTTAATTTTGCCCAAAGCTGTTAGTGTCATTGTTACACTTACAGTTAACATTGAATATGATCTCATCAGTATCCCCATGTGAGTGACAGCAGACCTTCAAGCTCACAAGGTGTGACAGATTCACAGTTTCTTGGCTGCTAATCCTACTAAACTGGACCTAATTGATGATAAAAATTTTTACCATCAGTTGGTTTTGTCAATAAGCAACTGGCAAAATTTGCCTTATAACTCAAACAAAACTGGCACCCACTCTCTCAGAAATTTATAACACTAGACTTCAAAGCCGCCAACAAGAAGTTTTTACTGTTTACTTTAATCAAGAGTGGTTATAACCCCTGCATAATCATAACCAATCCAATTTAGACCAAACTTTGAAATATGTCATAATTTTTTAGTTTATTTATTGAAGGTAATGATTGTATTGCAGTTTTTAATATGATAGTAATATGTAGATATATACTTTTAGTATAATTGCTCAGGTGATTACAAAGATGCACACACTCTGATTGGTTGAGTATTTAGTCATATCTTGTTATAATCACCTCATGCTAGGTGATTAAAGCAAGAACACTTTTTTGTCAGCGTTACCTAGGAAGTGATGAACCTGATAAAGTAAATTCAATTCCAAGGAGTACAAAAGATGCTATTCAGTTTGGAGTATCACTTTTCAAAGGAGAGATTTGAAGTCTTTGCTGACTGAATAAAATGAAACTGTTAAATTATGCTGAGAACTGGCACCTTATCTTGATACCAGCTATCAAAACAATTCAAAGAGAATGGTTTCAACATTATTGACAAATATTTAAATTCAAAACCACTAACTAGTAAGCAATTATACATGTACTAGCATGAATCATTGTTAATTATCTAGACTGTGTTCATGGATTGTGTACCTGAAATGCTCTCTGAAATTCTTCAACTGTGTGTGTTACAGAGTTCTCAGCACCACTCAGACCTTGGATTAACTTGAAAATAAAGCAGAAAAATAGAATTTCATACTTACATACATGTATCTTTAACTGCTAACCTTCTGATTATCACACAAAATTTTGTTAGAGTGCTATCAACCTTGTTAGGAACAACTTATTTGTGCTATCAGCTATATTTAACAGTTTACTTTCAACACTGTCGATGTAGATCAGTAAGAAGATAGGGGGCAAATTTCTTTACTAAAAAGAAACAATGTTGTGGGGAAAAGCAGTTGGTAATTTTTGAATGTAACAACTCACAGTTATAGGCACAATGTGGTCTCCAGGAACAACTGTAGTGGGAACTTTCCTTTTGACTTTTCCAGTACCTGAAACCATAAATAAAATAAAAATGAAATTGGTGGCTTGCATTGAGTTTGTTATGACTAAAATCAACAGGTACATGTAATGTTTTACATTCAAGGTCAAAGCAACTTGATGTAAAAATACTAATAATAATAAAGAAAGATCAAGTGACAACCATACCCTGTTTGACCACAACTTCTCTGCCTGGATCAAATCTGTCCACTGTTACATTAATACTGTCCTCTTCTGAAATGTTTCAAGGAGTTGTAATAGATTAAATTATTAGAAGTACCCTACATCTTCACTAGCTCCACTCCACTAAGTCTTTTCATGTTTGTTTAATGCTTTTTTTGTTAGGGGTTGAGTTGTAGAGTGGGATCAGTGTCAGTATCCAAGCAACTACACACCTTCACCTTCCCCTCCCCTAATGCAATAAAAGTCAACTGATGATTAGTTAGGGCTGAAGATGGGTCAGGTATGCAGTTGCTCAGATACTGACAGTGTTCTGTAGAGTGATCCTCAGGACATAATTAAAACAAAGACATTGTGTGATTTTTACTCTAAGCCGTTACTTACTTGAGTCAACAGAGATGCTTCCAACAAGGAAACATTCATTGGAAGATTTTGTCTGATTAGCATGTCTGCGAGCCAAATGCAGAGTCTTCTCATTGATGTACAGCCTCACATTCCTAAAAATGAGATCAACATGTGTCCCAAAAATATTTTAAAATGTGGTAAGACATTGAAACTATAGGTGAAGCACAAATGTATTGTTTACAAGAGTCAATATCATTTTGACGGGTGGGTACTGAAAAATAGCAAAGTGATCCTGATAAGTTTATTACAGTTGAAGAAATTACAGGAAAAGAAGCTTAAAAAAAAAATTCAGGATTGGATGGGATTTTTCACTTTGCTATGAATCCCCAGAGGTCAAGGGTTACCAGGTTCTTAATATCCAAATTTGTTACCTTTTAGTTGTGAGATGGAGAATTTCAGTGTCTCCTAGAGCAGTTCTGTTCCTATAGGTGAAAAAGAAAACCCTTCATGAATGCAATTTAGCTAGGGTTATATATTCTAGAACTTGGTGGAAGGCAAGGAATTTGACCAGGAAGCACTACCAGACAGCAATAGTTATCTCTCATAGATTGATTGTCGACCAAGTATCAAAAGGTATGTACTATTTTGCATTTATTTTGTTTTTCTTTGCTCTGTGATTAACTAATTTGTCTAGGAAACTTGCTATTCCCTTTTCACCAATCAGATACAAAACTAAAACTGATCACAACTTGGTCACAAATAATTTTCCAAGCTTCAAATATACTGTAGCTTGCTCATGTTTACTTTAAGTTTTTATCAGCTTCTGTTGATACTTTCTCTCACTCTGATAGGAAGGCCATAGTGATCTATTTGATTTTGGTTGTGCAACAAGTGATTAGAAAGTGTTCTAATCCATACACATATGTGCTTACCACAGTATCGACTGAGTTGCCGGGAAATTCAGGGGCTGAAGCATAACACCATTTCTCTGCATTCTTAAAAGTGATATAAGAAATCTCAGTTAGAAATTTCACTTTTTGATTACTCCTGAAAAATAACTGTCCTTTCATAATGTACAAAAAAGAGGAATGAAGAGTACAACATCATATCACATCCTTATCATTTGTCCATTCTGTACCTTAAATGATCCTTTTCTTTATCGTATTTATCTCTCTTAGAAGGAAAAAATGATGACAGCTGGTCCACTGTTTGCCTGTGCATACAATTCATGCCTAAAAAAATTAGCCGAAATGAATTATTATTACAACTCTCCGTAAAGAGGCGAAAATATTAACAATATATCCATCCTAACCGTGTGGAATCTTAACTTATTACTTTTTTGAACCACATATTATAAGTTTGACGAGTTTTTGGAAGATCTTTTGTATATTTCATTTACAGAAGTTACCTTGCAATATCTGCAACAGACATAATCGCACTTAAATTATAGACGTAGGAGATCTCAAGGAAGCCATGATATTTGCATCAATTTTACCTACGATTCAATGTATATTTTAAAGATCATTTCAGAATTCTCATGAAATAGGGATCGCAGCATATCAGGATAATTGAAGTTGAGACAAAAGCTTATGCACTTTACAAATGGTCGCCATTTTTTCCTCCGCGATCGTGAGCTGCATGCAAACATACAGCTTGTGATCGCGGGGGCGAACTGAACTGTTTTTCTCTTCCAGGTTTACGGAAGGCAATGATTTTCAGACCCGATCTAATGAACAGTGGATCACGGTCATAGGCCGAAATCCACAACGTTTACAATCAACACCTATACAAAACGAACAAGATACGTATTACTGATTGACTCCAAGATTTAACGGTGAAAAGGGGGAATCAAGCAACTTGTTTAAATCCTGAATATATTAATAACATTCACTGCAATACCTCCACCAAAGAGACCTCGTATTCGCTCTCGATCACTGGAAATAATTCATGTTGTTATGTTATGACCCTTGGCCAATGAAGACAACAGTGCTCGCTTTCTTCTCAAATAAACCGCGCAAAAGCCCCACTCAAATGCATCGCGTGATTTGATTGGTTATTCCTGTCCAATGAACAAAGCTTTTACTTTTTACTGGATGCACAGGGGAACCATGACGTCACAGGTGCCATCTCGTGGTTTAGTTTGCTCTGCGTCAATTTTGCGCCGGGAAGATTTTCAATTTTTAGCTCTCAATCAACCATGGTATACTGCACTGCTTTCAACTGCAACAACGATGGCAAAAAGATGAAGTCGTTGAGCTTTTTCCAGTTTCCCTCTGATGAAAAATACCGTCAGATATGGATAGAGAAAGTTCGTCGCGTCAACTGGGAACCGAACAAGTACTCGAGGTTGTGTTCTGCGCATTTCGAATCACACTGTTTCGTACATAACTTCAAACTTTTCGATTCTCTGGGTCTTCCAAGACCAAAAAAGGCCACTTTGAAGCACGATGCCATTCCTACCATCTTTGATTATGAAGACAGGACACCAAAAGCATCAAACGAGCTAACTTTTTCTCGTAAGCGAAAACAAGAGGATTCTTCGGGTAATGCGCCTTGGAAAGGAAGGAAGATCCTTGAGGTACCCTTTCATATTCATTTGTAGAGTTTTTCTTCACTCGAATTGCGGAATAGAACTCAGTTTCCTCTCCAAGTTCATGATTGTTTTCATCCATGTATAGCATGTCTCTTTACCCTGCTTTTTTTTCTTCTTTGGATGCATAATTGTAGCGTTTCATTCAACCCACTTTGTGTGTTTCTTTACATTCATAACTCGTGACGTATGACATATCACTCACAAAGTTAATTTTTAACGTTTTGTTTACGTAAGGTTTCTTCTTCTTTTCTGCAGGATTAGTTGCTAGATTCTAAAATGAAAATATGCTGTTTTTGCGCACAGATTTAAAAAAAATGGAATCTTTACCCAAAATGTGTCGTAAAATAATATTTTTATGTGTCTCGTAGGTGATAGATTTCAACTCGCTCCTTGACGATTATTTAAAGAGCATTCAATCTGAAGAAGACTTTGGTTCAGCCAGTGAAGCCAGCAACAAAACAGGTATATGGCGGTGTTGTGTGTTGTGAAAATATTTGCTGTATTGTAAAATAAATCCTCTCGTTTTTATTGCCGTTTTTTCGGTGATTTTTGTCTCATTATGTAAGGCACATTACTTCCGGGGAAGGGGTCTTTCCCCTAGGGATTACACTTGTGACCTTAATGACACCTCTACTTCGGGAGTGAATAGCGTCAAATTTCGCCTTACTCAGTATCACACTTGAATCAAATGTTGAGGTGAAGAGAATACAGGAAATGACACCAATTTAAGAAGCTCCTGATTGTCAGTAAGATAGGAAATGCAAAGAGCATAGTGCGAGAATATGAACGCGATGTACTGAGATCTCTCGTATGACTCTGAATTTCTTGTGATGAATTCTATGCTTACTATGTAAATTTTTTCAAATCTTTTCTTCCAGGGTCTGATGAGTTGGTGAAGGAAATAATTCCAGGATCTTCACCATGCCAGGTATCAGAACAGTTGATTAGTTCCTCAACATGTTGTCATTCAAGTTTATATCTGGTCAAATCTCAATCTACTTTACAATTATAATCAAAGACAAATTATCAAAGATAATGACTTTTATACTCAAATCATACAAACAAGGTAATACCTAAATTAAGATACAGGCAGGTTTAGGATTTAAAAAAAAATAATGCAAAAGAGATTCTTTGCTGTTGTGCACAGATACGTTTTTATCACAATATTTCAATAGCAATTCTTAATTAATTGTAGATTAACCCTGTGACTCAAAGGTGTGACTATGATCTAATTTCTCCTTACAGCATCACAGCTGAATTAAATATTAGGGTCATGAGAATAAAGGAAATGATCACCAACTCAAGAAGCTTGTGATTGTCATAAAAAAATCTCCTTGTCTGCACCTAAGGAAATGTATTGAGAACAGTATAGAGAATATGCATATTGATGTTGGGGTGTGTTTCTAAGCTGGTGCTAATGTGGGGTATATCTTCGTTTGTTACACTTCATTTCTATTTACTCAGGAATTTAAAGTGGGATTTTTCTCACCTAATTTTTAATGTTCTCAGGGTGGTGATAGGTTTGTTCTGCTCCTGAATAAGCCATTATCTCCAGATATATGCGATATTTCAAGTTCCCTGTTGTGTGTTCGCTTTGGAACTGAATATGTTGTTCCAGTGACCCTATGGAAAGAGCAGGTTATAAGGGGAGATTCAACACCAAGTAAGTAAAAACCAAAGATGTTGAAGCAAATATTGTTTTTAAAAAAACTTATTTAGTCTGCATCACTTAGCTGGCTTATCCCTGTTGTTAGAGCATGAAATCTCCTCTAAAGACTTGTTGGGTTTCTCCCCACTTCCTCAAGGGTATGCTAGTATATTGCCAGTTACCCTTTGTGCAATTATCAGGTTCTCTTGGCAAATCACTGGTTCCAACATTCCACATATTCCTCGGTTTAAGACACTGACAATGACAAGTAATTAAAATTGTCTTACCTTTAATCACAATTGAATGATCCAGCTAGAGTTCAAAAATGGGCCTTCCAAAACTTTTGATTTGTTCATGTAAAGCAGACAAATTGCTGTTACTAAAGTGCAAGCTATAGTATGAATAATTAGGCTTTCCTTAACTGTTTTGTTGGGTCTGATGCTATTGAGATGTGGTAAAACGGTTTTAACTCTGTTGGTAGAGATGATATCAAACTCTTTCAACTAATTTTTTCAGAGTAGATTATTTTTACCAAACAGATGTAGTTACTGTGAGTTAACCCTCAAGGTTTCAATTTGCAGATAATTGCCAAGCAGCCATTGTTCCTGAATCAACTCCTAAACGTAAAGGTGTTTTAGAGCTATAAGAGAATACTAGACTGTAATATTTTTTGTTGTTGTAAATTTTGCTTTTTAGAAAGTGATAAACCAGGTATAGTTGTTGCTCAACTGGAAACAACTGATGGCAAGGTTCTGGGAAGCACAAAATTTTTGTACAAGGAGGAGATCTCAACAGGTTTTCAGAAGATTGTCTGCAGTAAAAACTATGGAGGAAAGTTAATTATGGGACTTTCTGATTTTGGAGCAAAGGAAGATCAAGCTATGGCCAATGAAAGTGAGGCAAATCAAGGTAAAGATCTACTTTATCCCATAGGTGATCAAAGTGATATTTCTCCTTACAATATCAATACAAAATCAAGCAGACAGGTGATGAGAATAGAGAAAAATATAAATTAGTGAGTTATTGATCAATCTCAATTCCAAATTCTCAGAACTAACATCATAGAAATTGTACAGCAGGAGAATTATGGAAGAGATCTTGGGAGTTAAAGGGTTAAATCTTTTGCTCTGTTCTTTTTTGTTTTGGTTTGGTTTAGTTTTGTTTAATTTTGTTTTGTTTTGTATTTTTTGTGTGTGTGTGTGTTTCTGAATTTATCTCTAACAGAGACAACTTGAAGATGGTGTAGAAAAAAATCCAAAATGCAAACAATTGACTCTGTTTTTTTCCCAGATGTAACATCTCTGCATACTTCTGAATCTAGTCTGGCACTTAACAGCATTTTGAAAATGATGCTGTACGTAGCAGCCAAGCATGAGGCTGGTGGATTTGTTGAGGATCTTTTTAGAACTAAGGCTGGTAAAGCAGTGATGAATTCATTCAGTAAAAAGGATGAGCTTGAAGAAACAGGAAACCAATCAAATTTACAGCAACAACTGTTTTCTTACCTTGAAAACATATCAAAAAGGTAATGATCAGTGTTTTGCTGATGTAAAAAATGTATTATATACTGAACATCTTGGCTTACTTGTAAAAACTCAGCCTGCAAATAGACATGCATGAAAATGTTTGGTTGCCAATTTAATTTGCAGGGTCTTTATTTGAAGGCCATTGCCCATAATAATTAGCAGGCAGCTGTAACACCGTTTTTTTGCCAGTTAATTTGTGAATTATGATTAAACACAGAAAATAAGTATTTTTAACTGATTCCAAAACAATTTCTTGCTTAAAATTGTTACTCAAACATATTCCAGAATGTTGGATATCATGTCTCAGAGAGTTTCACATTTCCAATTTTTTTTTAAAGTTTAACTTATTAATAAAGTCACTTAATTTAGTCTATTTATTATTTTTTGTAGGGTAATTGAAGAAGAAGAAAGGAGAAATGCAAAGGTGGCTCCCCAAGTTAGCCAGGTTGTGGAGAAAAAACACCCAAAACCTGTTGTAAAACCAGGTGAGGTCCACAAATTTACAGGGCAAGTGATATTAACAGCTCTTTCCTTATCATCAACCCATCAACCCTTCAACCCCTGAGAATGATACTAGTCATCCAATTTATCCTAACAGGATTACCCTTGCATCAAATATTAAGGTCATGAAAATAAAGGAAATGATTGCAAGGTCAAAAATTTCTTGATTGTTAAACAAATTCTCCTTTTCAGCACCATAGGAAATGTCTAGAAGACAGTATGGAGAAAATGCATACTGATGTTAGAATGTTAAGGGTTAGAATAATGACCTGATACAGTTCAGGCTGTCAGTGCAATTGTGTTTCCCTTCTTGTACAACATATTTATGAATCCATACCCTTTACATTTCTTTTTTTGATGGGGTAATTGATTTCCTCAGAACTGAAGAAAAAGAAAAATGCAAAGGTACTGAAAACTGTTCCTAAAAATCGAGGTAAAACAAAGCTGACGTCCAAGAAACCAATGAGTGGAAACAGCTTTCTATCAGGAGCGATAGGTGAGGAAAATTGGCACTTTTCTGTGAAGTGAATTTTTTTAGAAATTAGATATTATAGCGTTTGTAGATGGAAGACAAGGAAGAGATGCTATAGCAGAAAAATGTAAAAAAAATGAGTGGTTTTAAAAGTGACAGACATTTTGCTCCAATTTGTTTGATAAACAGGACTCTCTTGTGAGGGAATATTTTCGATGCCATGTCAATTATTGCCTTTATGATATCTCTCAGTTAGTACCTGTGCT